ACGGTTCGAGAGAAAAGAGCGAAACCATGAAAGCAGAGGGTCAGAGAACCCAAACAATTTTAATTTCATAAATAATATTTCATGGTTTATGCTATCAAATGCTTTAGACATATCAGTGTAAATGATATCGGTTTGCGTATGGGCTTCGAAAGAGTCAAGTATTATTTGTTTAGTAATAGCTAGATTACAATCTATTGATAGCTTTGGTCTAAAACCATATTGATGACAAGTGAGAAATGAGGAGCAATAATTATTAATTTTAGTAGAAATTAGTTTTGAGAAAAGTTTGGGAATTACTGATATTTTTGATATTGGCCGATAGTTAGAAACATTTGTGGGATCGCCTTTTTTAAAAACAGGATAAATAAAAGAGTTTTTCCATAGGTCGGGGAATATATCGTTTTGGAGTGATAAGTTAAAAATATAAGTTAAAGTTGGTGTTAGTATAAATCTACAATTATAAAGGAAAAAGGCTGGAATGTTATCGGGACCGACGTTAAAATTGATATGGAGAGCGGTAAGCTCTTTTAAAACTTCGACCTCCGTAAGCGATAGAAACGAAAAGGAAAATGAATGATTACTACTTAAGGAATTATTAATACAAGAACCAAAGTGGTTAGTTTATCTGGCTGAGGGCATAGGCGCCCGCAGAAATTTTTCTAGGGGGGGGCAATGTTAGGATTTGAAGATAAAAATTATAATTTTACTAGGTATTTCAAAAGAATAACCTTTTTTATTATACTCGTATACAATATATATTTTATTACGTACAACTTATTTTATTATTAGTATAGGTATTAAATACATAGGTAAAGGTAACTTAATTAATTCTCAAAAAGAAATTGTAGTCGTCTCACATCTCTTCCGAAACTATCAACAATTTCTTCATAATATTTGTTATTACTAATTAGGTCAATTATCGTAGATTTATGTACATTCATCATGCACAAAGCATCGAGTCTTTCGTTAGTCATAATAGAGCGTATCCAGGTTTTAACTCTCCGCAAAGTGCTGAAAGACCGCTCAGCAGTACAAGTAGTTGCCGGGAAGCTAATGCCAATACAAATTGCCGAAAATACCGATGGGTAAAATATTTCCGATTCTTTCAGGATATCTAGTACATCTTGAGATTTCTGAATATTTGAGCGATTGTCATACCAAATCATTGATTCAGCTGCAAAATTGTCTAGAAAAGAACTATATTTTTTTGAAATTTTTTCAGTAAGCGATCTATATTGATTTTCATCGAGCTTACTCATATATTCTGGTAATAATTGAAAAATAGAATAAGGTACTTCATTTTCTTCTGAAAATCGTTCTTTAAGGGATAATATTAATGAATCAACATATCGAATAAAAATATTAATTTTAAAATAACTTTCAGCACAATCAGCAAGTACATTTGTTCTATATATTTGTTTTTTGACAATTCTTGGTATAGTTATTTTAATATCTGATTCAGCTAAACTACTTTCCATTTTACCCCAAAGAACATTAAAAGTAGCATCTGCAGACTCTCGATGCTTTTGAAATATTTGAGTAAGCGTAGTTATTTGTTTTTTTACAGTTAATAGATTCTAATTAACTCCTTGGAGTACATTAGCAACTGGTTCCAACATAGAAGAATATTCAGCCATAACAAACAAACAAACTAAAAATGTTGAATTACTACAAGAATTATACAATTGAAAAGCACGATTTTTTGTATTACGGTTTACGTCACTTTCCGATAGTTTTTACAACGCTTCTAATATTATATTAATGTTTTCTTTAAATATCCTTATATTTTTGTTTTTGGCTGTCCAACGCGTTTCGCTGAATAGCGGAATGTTTGGAATGTATTTTCTTCTCAAAGGACTTTCTCGAAAAAAATTTATTGAATCTTTTATTGTTCCAACCGTGTTACGAATTTCGGAAACATCGCTCAAGTCATTAATAACTAAATTTAACTTATGAGAATTACAATGAAAAAAAATTTGCGTTTGGATATTTATCTTCAATTCGTTTTCTAACTCCACTTATTTTTCCCGCCATAGTAGAACAACCGTCATATGCTTGACCGACCATTTTTGATAGATCAAGCCCAAATTTTATGAGAGTGGACAGAATTTGTTCAGATATAGTTTCGGCGTCCAAACGTTGCAATGGTACAAAGCCTAAAAATTCTTCCCTTACACAGAATTTACCGGTTGACATTTTGTGCACGAATCGTACTCCTAACGAAAGCTGCTCTATACCGGATATATCACACGATTCATCAGCAGTGACTGAAAAGAACTGGCTTTCCTTTACATCTTTAATTATATGTTCTAGTAACACTTCATTGCATATATTTATAAGTTCGTTTTGAATTCTATGTGAAGTATAAGTCGTATTTGCTGCAGAATTTTGCAAATGGTCATTTAAAATAGTATCTCCTGCGTCTACTCTAAATTTTAATAAGCTATTGAAGATAGTTTTTCCTCTTAGAGGCATATTGTGTATACCACAAAAAACTATTGTTTTGATTATGGGTATTAGTTTTGCTCTATTTGACTCTATTGTTTATTGAGCAGAACTCATAAGTTGAACAACATTTTTTTTTTGTTTTCTATAATATTACAAAAATTATTTGCTCTATTCGTTGAGTCACGGTGCCATTTAGATTGAAGATGAAGTTTCACAGAGCCATGGAAGTCTTTATATTTCGTAAATTCATTAATAATAAATCGACCTTGCATTCCTCGATCCAGTTGAGGTTTGAATAATACGCAATAACGGCATAAAACTCCTTTTAATTTTGAAGAATATCAAATAAAAGGATAGTCTACTAACCACTGAAGACGAAATAAACGATTTCCAGTATTGGAGTCTTTTTTAAAATCGTACGATTTATCGGGTACCCACGCTTTTTTTTAATGCTTTATAAATGATCTCGTCTGCCAATTTACCATGATTAATAAAATTTCCAATATCATAGAAATCAATGTTTGCAAAATCCTAAAAAATTAATTATTCAATTAAAACCAGGGATGGAATACATTTTTAATTTTTCCATTTTTGTTATTGTTTATTAATTTTAAAAATATATTTTTTTGTTTAACATTTTTAAACGTTTTAATTAACTTTTAAAATACGTTATTTTTTTTATATTGTTTCCAAATAAATGTAATATATTTATAAAAACCTTAGGGTCAATAGTGTAATAAAAATTATTGTCTTACCTTTTCTACGATAGTTAACGAAGTAGATGTTTCACCTAAAGAAGTTGACTGATCTACTTCTATTTGGCTAGTTTCGGTTTCATTTTCATTTATTTTAGCATTGTCAGGTTCTAGTTCTAAACGAGGTTTTTTAAAGTATCTCCTTAAATCCATTTTCTATCAAATTCGAACAACCGTTAAATATTTCAGATGAACCGATAGATTTACAAATACATCGAATAACGAATAACGACTGACTTATGATTACGATGATAAAATATTATATGGGTAAACAATTACTAATCATATCAGTAATCACTTTATATAATAGATGATAGAGAATATTACGTATAAAGTTATTTAGGTATAGAAAGGACTAATCTAAAAATACAATTATCAATCGACTGCAAAATAAAATCTAATCTAATGTTTTTATAATGGTAACTTATTACTTTTATAACCACTTTAAATTTGCTGTAGAGTATACCTATAGTAATTTATCTAAAACATTCAATTTAAAATAATACTTTGAAAAAGCCAGGGAGGGGCAAATGCCCCAGCTTGCCCCCCCTGCGGGTGCCTATGGCTGAGGGTAATTTTTAAAGAAATACTTAGCAAATAAGTTAACAATATCATATCCATTATCAGCTGACGTTGTGTCGAGCGTAAGGAGGTTTGGTATTGAATTATTATTTCGACGATTATTAACATATTTCCAGAAAGACTTAGGGTTTAATTTGACAGATAGTTGAACTTTATTAATATGGTTTTTATAATCGTGTTTAGCAGTTCTCTTACAATTAGCTCTCAAACGGGAAAAGTTATTATAATCAGATGGGTCATTAAATTTTTTATACAATGAGTGAGTAACTTTTTTTTGTGTTAGCAATATTTTTAGCTCGGTAGAATACCAAGAGGGAAATCTGTTTGACAAAACATGCTTTTTCGGTACAAAGGTACAAATTGCTTTGTTTAAACAATTATAGAGGTGGTTGATTAATTCATTAAGGCTGAAGTTAGTAAAAGTATTATAAGATAAATTATCAGCTAAAAATTTAACAATATCAATATAATTACAATGTTTAAAATCATAATAACAATCTGTTGGCTTAAGTACATTGAACTGATTATAATCAATAGTAAAATTAAGAGCTGGATGGTACTTATTCTAATGGTAATAGTGGGTCAGGATCATTAAAGACATTAAGGTGAGCGTTTGATAGGACTAGATCTAAAGTTACATTATTTTCGTGACGAACATGGTTAAGCTGGTTGAAGTTGAAATAAGATAGCATATTTAAAAAATAAGAATCAACTTGAGAAGTGAAATTAATTGGAAGCGATGAATTAATCCAATGAATTGATAGTAAATTAAAATCCCCTAATATTATAAATTTTGTAGATGGATAGGCTAAGTATAGGTCATTTAAAGCGGAAAAAACATTTTCAAACGTTATAAATGGGGAACAGGGAGGTATATAAATGCAGCCAATAATAAAAATTGTGTCACCTATCTGTAAATGTACAAAAACAGCTTCAATATTATTGATAGAAGTATTTAACATTTTACACTTAATTGTATTTTTTACCGCAATTAAGACGCCCCCACCATGAGAGCGGTAACTGTTTAGCGGCGACCTATCACAACGAAAAATTATAAAATTAACAAAATGCAATTCAGAGTTACATATAGCAGGTGAAAGCCATGTTTCAGTAAATGAAATTAAATCAAAAGGAGAGGTATTAAGTGAAGGGATTAAAGTGCTAATTTTAGAGACCTAACATTTTGATAGTAGAGTAGCAGGCTTGAGTTGGTGATTAGTTTTTTTGAACCACAGAAGAGACGATAGTTGGTTGACCCTTATAGTATTTTATTGTCAGATTTGGCTCACCTTTTGATATTCGAACACTTAACTGGTTGCGTAGATCACGCAGAAATTCTCGCTGATAAGGTGTCTTATCACTCGCGAGTCTAATATCTTTAAAATTCTGGTCAGATTTCAGGTTACGTGATAACCCGAGAATTTTGAATACTTCTGAGGCCGCTTGCAGTTCTATTTTCAGAGGACGAGACTTGTTATTAGGTTTGCCTAAACGACTAATTTTTATTGGTTTAATGTCCGTTCCGAGTTTATTAAAAATGTGTGTAATTGAATCAGTATCAGTGGTATTATTGTGACTAGATTGTTCATGCACATTAAAAACGATAATGTTTTTAGAACGATTTTGTCGGTCGACAAATTCGGCAAACATATCACGATTATCATTGGACTTTGGAGCAGCTGATTCCAATAGGTCAACACGGTTTTTGATAGCAGTCAAATCATTACGAAGCACACTATTTTCATTTCTGATACTTGTTAGTTGAGAGAAGATTTAAATAATTTTATTGTACGTATTAAAAACAAATTACTATATTATGGTTAAAAATAAAGAAAAAAAATACTGCTTTAAAAGTTAAAAATTAATGAGATTTTTGTGGCTGCTTATTTTTTGAAAGTTTGGCAATATCTGGTTCAATTTTTGACAGTTGGATACGAAGATCAAGTTCTACATTAAGACGGTTCCGGTATTTGGTTTTAGTAGCCGCATAGGCTGAAAATCCCGTCTCACATAAATAAGTGGTAGCAAAAGGTAAGAGTATTGTTATTGCTTTTTGACTCAAATTATCAAAACTTGTATTTTTCAAATTTAGCCAAAATTCAACATAAGAATTGCTACTGAAGGTGGATTGAAATGTTAAATCTGAAGTAATATCGATCAAACTCTCATATTCGATTGAAGACAAGCTTGAGGGTTTTCCACAGACTGAAAATGGATTAACTACCCATTCACGGTCTTTTAAAAACACCTGTAGGAAAATATTTATTAAATGAATTTTTCAGTAGTTTGAGATGTTCAGAAATCTCGTTAATAATGCTAATAGGAGCTTGCAATTCGTTCTCCTCCAAAAAGGCCTGCATTATTGGAAAATACTCAAGCTCTCTTTTAAATATGCACTCTGACCAATAATTAATTTTTCTTTTCAATGTACATACTCAGGAGCTCGCATCAAAAATTGTCAAAGTTCTTCCTTGTAAAGAAAGACTTAATTCGTTCATTTTATTAAAAATGTCTGCCAAGTACGATAGCTGACAAAGCCAAGTCACGTCATTCATAGTTTCAGCTAATGTAACGTTGTGGTCCATTAGAAATGAAGAAACTTCAGCCCTTAATTCCATTAACCGTGTTAATACTTTACCGCGAGATAACCACCTGATTTCTGTATGAAAAAGTAACGTATTATGAATACTTACCAAGTCGTCACACAAGATTTTAAAAAGTCTAGATTTTAGAGGATGTGACTTGATGAAGTTGACTATTTTTATGACTTCATCCAATCCGTTTTTTAGACAAAGAGGAATATTTTTCATTGCTAGAGCATGTCTATGAAGTATGCAATGACTACTAGTAGTTTCATTTGATTTCTCCTTTATTTTAGCGATTGCTCCAGCTGTTGCACCTGTCATGGCCCTAGCACCATTAGTACATACATCGATACAGTTTGTTCATGGAATCTGATTTTCTGTTAAAAAATCATCCAATAAACAGAAAATTTGAACCCCTGTCGTATTAGATAGAAGTGGTTTACAAAATAAAAGATCTTCCTCAAAAGAGTTCATGTTTACGTAACGAACGAACACCAATAGCACAGCAAGACCAGCAATATCGGTTGATTCGTCCATTTGTAGTGCGAATTTTGTGTATTTAATACGAGAGACAAGTATTTCTGATACGTTGCTAGCCAAATCTTCAATTCGCCGTGCAACAGTATTATTTGGCAAAGGAATTATGGATAAATGTTTGGCAGATTTGTCATTAAGCATACAAGATACTATATCAATAACATATGGTTTTATGAGGGTCTCCGCAATGGTATGAGCTTCGCCTTTTTCAGCTATACGGTAACTCACCATGTAGGAAGCTTTCAATGCATTTTCATTATCGGTTAGAACGTGTACTTTTATTTTTTTTTTTAACAACCAATAGTTCAGAACGCTTTCGTTTGAAAAAATCGAGTGGTTTCCCATTATGATCTGTGTGGACCTTTTCATAATGACGACGTAATTTTCCGGGATACATAGAACTGTTAGGAAAAACTTTTAAACAAATTACGCACTGTGGCTGGCCATCGTTTGTTTCTACGAACCCCATCTCCAAATAACTTTCATCGTATTTACGTTTTTTGGACGTTATTAATAACTTGTTTAATAATTTCAAAATATTTACAATAATATAAAGCAGCATCAATCCATGTAC